GAAAATTATAATAGATACATTAGAGGAGACATTTTAGAGAAAAAAAACGAACAAGAAAATAACAAAAATTAAGTATAGAAACGAATATCTAAAGGAAAGATATTTTAAAAGAAAACAGCAAACCCAGAGAAATATGGCTTCAGTGCCCAGGATTGTATACTAGGTATGACTCTTCCACAAATATTTGTAGAATGGGATTATTTGTAAGTAATTGCAAGAGATTCCCTATTCTACATAAATAATTCCGTACATCAGTGTCAGTATCCGAAGCAGTGTCTATGACCCACAAAAAAATTATAATACCATTGAAGCTATAGAGTTTTTATTCGAGTAAAAGTTGTTAATACTATTATGGGTGTTGCAAAAGAAAATTTAATGGATATAAAGGACAAAGAAAAACAAATGTGAAGGATATCAAAACAAATTATTCAAACTAAAAACAGTATATTGCATGTACGGCATTAAAGCAGTTATTGGATCTACCAGGCATCTTATTTAGTCTTTTATGTGTAATAAATAAATCCATTAAGATTAACTATTAGAAATAATGTCTATACCTTTGTGTATCCATAAAAGTCCTATGGGTATTTCGCCACTGCAAGAAAATCTCCAAATTAAAATAGTTATTTTTTGTAAACACTGATGGCGTTATCCAACGGAGACTAATATTGTCAGCAGTGACTTACTAATAAACAAATTTGCCTAACGGACAAAAAAATGCTTAAAGTTTCGGAAAGTATATCTCTTTCCGTCGTCGGAAGCAAAAAATACAAAGAACAAAGAAAAAAAAAACGAAACGTTAAGCATTTTTTTGTCCGTTAGGCAAATTTGTTTATCAGTAAACTTAATTGCTGACAAGTAGTTGCCGTTGGATTAACGCATCAGTGTTTACAAAAAATGACTATTTTATTTGGTAGACTTTCTTGCAGTGGCGAAATACCCATAGGACTTTTTTGGAAGGTACATATATACATATACTGCCATTACTCGATGACGAGTATTTGACACGCATCAGAAGATGGTTACGTAAGGTGTTTTCTTTCATGAGCCTTTCTGTGAGTGAAAAGCCCGATACGTGATGTTATCTGTCTACCGCACTCTAGACATTCAAAAATCTCATTGCTTTGTTGCCTCTTTACTTTTTGGTTGTCGCTGTTAACTGACTACAATTCTTCTCCAGTCCGTTCTATTGTAAGCTGCTTCTTCCCACTCATTCTGCTTCTTAATTCCCTTTAAGTTTTCGTGGAAAATATCCTTGTACCTTTAGAGTTGTACAAGCTCACTGTAAAGCAGAGATTTTGGTATGCGGTTTTCTTGCATTGTGCATACGTGACCAGCCCATCTTCAGCGGGACTTTGTAATCATGACTTCAATACTCCCACAGTTAGATTTTTCAAGGACCGATACGTTTGAGACATGATGAAACCATTTTATTCTTAAGATGTCTCTGTTGCAACTTATTTAATGCGTTCATGTGTCGGCGGTACGGCCGCGGCACCCAGGTTTCGCTTCCGTATAACATAGTGGGAATTATTATTGCTCGGTACACTGCAAGTTTCGTTTTTGTGCTCAAGTCATGATTGTAGAAAACCCTGTGTTTTAATTCAGAAATTTCAGAAATCAAACTGCCGGGTAATTGAATTCCGCTACATATTCCAATAGCTCTTCTCCGATTTATATAGCGTTGTTGTGATCTTCCGGTGGAGTGCACATGATTTTAGTTTTATCGATGTTCAGCTTAAGCCCCAAAGCCTCGTATGCCCATGTATATGTGTTCAACATTTCTTGTAATTGCTGTAACGTATTTGCAACTAGAGCACAGTCATCAGCGTATTGAAGTTCTGTGATGAATTTTGTACGTGTTTTTGCCCTCTAATGAGTCTTTTCATGCTAAACAGACCGCCGTCGTATCTGTATCTAATGCCCAAACCTCTCTCCTGCAGTTTGCTGTCCACTATAATGGAGAGCGTTGCCATGAATATATTGAATAGGAGAGGCGCTAAGACACATCCCTGCCTAACGCCTGTGTTTGTTAAGAAGGGATCGCTCAGTGATCCATGATATGCCACTCTTGATTTGTTGTTTTTATGGAGGCTTTTACACACTGTAAGAAATTTGTTGGGTACTCCGAACTTTTTCATAATTGCCTAAAGTGCATCTCTGTTCACAGAGTCGAAGGCTTTTGTTAGTTTTGGAATGTAGTTTTGGAGGTATTAGACATTTTTTATATCTATGTGTCGGACTTATTTCTCCAAAAAAGTCTTCTGGGTATTTGGCCATTTGCACTGTATGAAAATTTACAAAATAAAATAGTTATTGAAGTGAAATTTCTTTACGCGCGCTGGGAGTGAAGGACACACGGTTATAAAAGAAGGAAATTCAAGGCCGCGACACACGAGCTAGCGGCACGACACGCTCACGAAAAGGAGTAACGATCGGAAAAGTGGTAAGCCAATGAGAAAGTTAAGATAAGTTTTTGAGTGTCGTAACTCGGGCCCTACGTGAGCTAGGGACGTTTCGTGCACTACGAAACCCCATCATCAATGCTAAAAAAATCGTCCGATTTAAATGAAATTTGGTCGATGGATTGGACCAAGGCCAACTTTACCACGTGTCACTGTGGCAGTTTTGATGTAAGTAACGTTAAAAGTTGGTGTCGACCAAATTTGTCCCACCCTGCAAATTTGGTAGTTTTCCAATTGTACCCAACTTATTTCTTTGTAAAATAACATAAACTACTTTGAAATTATTATGACAGATCTATCACTATCAAGGATTTTGGCATTGGACAGACTATAAATAAAGCAACTTTTCAGGCCTCAAATATATTAAATAAGCACGGGAAAACTTACAAAAATCAATTCTTACTATTGAAATTGCTATTGACATTTTTTCTGATTTTAAATCGAAATAATTGCTTAAAATTAAAAAAAACTTAAATACACTCACCGACACGAACAACGGACACATCATAGTTAACACAAAACCATATCAGTTAGAGTAACTGCCCAACAGACAAAGTTAGACGATTTTTCAAAGACATTAACATTACTTAAATCATAAACATTACTTTATAGGTCTGTTGACTAGAACCAAAAGCAAAGGCATGGTTTTAATGTAAAAAATACGAAAAAATGTGTCTTCTTCAAAAGCGAATATCCCCCAAAATAGTTATTTTTTATGGTCGACCGATTTTTTTTTAATTCACGAGCGATGAAATCGCCAGTGAATTAATTTCGGGAGACGATAATGCAATTTTATCGTCGTGTATAAAACAATATTTTTCTCCATAGCGAGTTACGTTTTAAAAAATATTCAGAAATTACCGAAAGGAATTCATTACGAGTAAACAAAAAATATTGTGCTGGGTTGGCGTTGGTTTCTATGTAATTTGACAAATAAATAAAGCTGTGTCTCTTTAGTTGTCAGTTTTGAGCCAATATTTTTTAATTCTCTTTCGTGTCGATTGTTGATTGAATTGTAGCCAGAAATGGCTCAAAACGAAATAAGTAAATTACCAACAGATATTCAAGCTGAGGTGACAAACGGCATATCCAAACTACTTCCATTTAAATCCCGAATAACTTATGAAAAGGAATACAAAAATTTTCAAAAATGGAAGTAATTAAAAAACGTGCGAAAAGAAATAAAGTGTTTAACCTATCCTCGCTGTTAAAGTATCATTTAATCTACCCTTGCGGTTAAGATATAAGGCAATGTTAACAGTTGCTATGGAAAAAAATAAAGCTACTGAGATGATTCAAAAACAAACTATTGAGAAAAGATACACCTAAAGAGAAATTAAAACAACTTTCGTTGCACGTCATCAATGACAACATGCGTCGTGTTATGGAGTTTGCTGGTGGTCGTATTATGATGTAAAAAATAGTGTTTTGCGTGTAGCAAATAGTGTTTAGCGTGTAGCAAATAGTGTTTAGCGTGTAGCAAATAGTGTTTTGCGTGTAGCAAATAGTGTTTTGCATGTAGCAAATATCTTTTTACACGTAATAAAATAGTTTTTTACACGTAAAAATAGTTTTTTACAAGTCATAATAGTTTTTTACACGTCATAATAGTTCTTTACACGTAAAAAATAAACGTTTTCTTACACGTAAAAAATAGTTTTTTACACGTAAATCGACAGGGGGTGCCGGTAAATTTTTTCGAGAAATTTTGGAAAATCGATTTTGCTTATATGGTAATATGTTGTAGTCCTGAATGTGTACTTTGGAAAACCGTATCGTTTTTGAGATTGGCACTTTTTTGGCAAAAATTAAGCTTTTTTTGCGTAAAAAAAGATTTTTTTACCAGAAACAAACAGTTTTTAGGCGTAAAAAATAGTGTTTTGCGTGTAGCAAATAGTTTTTTACACGTATAAAATAGTTTTTTACAAATCTAAAAATTGTTTTTTACACGCCATAAATTATTTTTTTACACGTAAAAAATTGTTTTTGCACGTAATAAAATAGGTCTTTTTACACGTAGTTATTTTAATTTCCCTATAGTTGTAAAAATTATTTTTAAATTCCTTACTTTGTTAACGCAGTCCACAGGGTGTTAACCTAATCAAACTTTCACCAAAATATCAACATTTTGTTTTTCCTCGTATAATTGACCGATGGCGACTTTCATTTTTAACTCAGAAGGAGATACTAAAAAGGCAAATAATATAGCTACAAATTGCTTAAAAATCATCAAAATCGGGTTTCTAGAACACAATATATAAAATTTTAAAGTAAATGAACTTAAAATGTTCATTTACTTTAAAGTTGTGCCCGTTTTTCGTGCCGGTGAGTGTACTTTCTTGCACTGTCTTGGTCTTGCAGATAAAACGCTAATCTTGGTCTTGGTCTTCTTTTCTATGCAAGACCCAGACCAAGACTCCCCCAATGTCTTAGAACATCGCTAATGGCGTGAAAAAGGAAGATCAAAATCAAAAACAAACCAGAATCGGTCACGGCGTGTGCGATGGATGCCAAGTCGCCGGGGTCGCCTTTATAATAACTGTTTTTCGCCATCCGCAATTCATTCATTCGCTCGTTTTCTTCTGCAACTCGACGGACGCCGAAAATCTCGTTAGCCGCGAGAGAGAAACAAGCGAACGTAGCAGGCCGCGACGACGACAGTCTACTTTTTGACAAATTGCGAGTAAACGCGATTCACCTGTTCACTTTTTACGAGTTCAGACGATTCTGGTCGCATTTTCCGCTGCATTTTATAGTCGGTGATTTTTTTGTTTTTTCGATTATTATTATTTGTGCGCTTTTTGTTTTGGATTTTTCTTTTAAATGAAAATGGCTGAGCTCAAAGGTTAGTACATATTTGTATTGCATTTTAATATGTTTATTATATATTATTGATTATTAAAAAATATATAAATTAATGGAACTTATTTTTTATAACTGAAAATATATATTTTTTTAATTAAATAAATGCATACTATTATTAATTTCTTATTATGTAACAATGAATTAAATAATTTTAAATTAGCTAAATTTCAATTCTTTTTATCTTAAATTTAAATGACTGAGTCAGAAGTTATAACTGTAACTATACGGTGCTTAAATCAATTGATTAAATTGATTGTTTTTCTTATTTATTATTTTTTATTGTCAATTATATATTTTTTAAGTTACTAAGTTACAATAGCGCTAAAAACAATTCCGAAACAGCATAAAACATAATAAGTATAGAAATTTTTGGAAAAAAAAAATAAAAAATGAATATATTTCTAAATAATTCATTTATTTTAAATATAATTTTATTTGAAATAAACGTATTAAGCCCTACTTTTAATTATTTTTTATATTGTTCTTGTTAATTTATTTTTTAACTAAAAAATTATATATTTTTTGAATTAAATGAATTATAGTATAACTACTTTACTACTTTTTTTATTCTATAACGATGAATTAAATGTAATTCCAAATTGGCTAAATTTCAATTATTTTTTTATCTTAAATTTAAATGACCGATTTCAGAAGTTATTACTGTAATTATACGGTGTGTAAATTAATTGATTAAATTGATTGTTTTTTTTTAATTTATTATTTTTTGTTGTCAATGATATATTTTTTAAACTACTAAGTTACAATAGTGCTAAATCAATTCAGAAACAATATAAAATATAATATTTTAATTAAAAAATGAAGAATATATTTCTAACTAATTCATCTATTTTAAATATATTTTTAAACAAATGTAGGTAAATCCTGTTTTAATTATTTTTTATATTGTTCTTATTAACGATAATTTTTAATAAAAACTCTAATATAAAATTATTCCAACTTTTGAAATAAAAAATAAATAAATAAAAAATACCGGTGTAATTTTTATCCAGAGTCTGAGTGAATACTTTTCTGACGTTTCTGGTCAATTTTCCGCTGCATTTTAGTAGACGATTTTTTAGTTTTTTCGATTATTACTATTTGTGCGCTTTTTGTTTTGGATTTTTCTTTTAAATGAAAATGGCTGAGCTTAAAGGTTAGTACATATTTGTATTGAATTTTAACATGTTTATTATATATTATATTGATTATTAAAAATTTTAAGTTTGCGATAATTGCATAGAAAAAAATTGGCGCCGGGAGGCACGTATAGCCGCCCATACTAAAATATATTAATAAAAAGTTGGTAGGCAGTTCCTTTAGTTTCAAAGTAAAGGAATTTTTCCAATTTTGGTCCGCGGTTATTTCCCCTATCCGCCACCTGGGGTCGCGTCCGATGGGAGTTTGGAGTTCTCCACACGGATTTTCTCAAAAACGGACTACGGAAACACGGAATATCTCAAAAACTACGACTTTGACTGATTTTGATGTTATTGCAAATTTTGTTGCAAATATTGTTTCTAATCTTAAATTGAAAACCGCGTTTCCTAATAACTCATTTTGAGTGAAATTAAAAAAACTTTTTTTTTTGCCGATCTGAATAGCCTACCATACCTATTGGTATGGTCGGCTAAAAAATATAAATTAATTTAACTTATTTTTTTTATAACTAAAAACATATATTTTTTCAATTAAATAAATTAATACTTTTATTATTTTTTTTATTATATAACAATTAATTAAATATTTGCAAATTAGCCAGATTTCAATTATTTTTTATTTTAAATTTAAATGACTGAGTTCAGAAGTTATTACTGTAATAATAATACGGTGTGTAAATCAATTATTAAATAGATTGCTTTTTTTTATTTATTATTTTTTTGTTGTTAATTATATATTTTTAAGTTACTAAGTCACAATAGCGCTAAGAACAATTTAGAAACAGCATAAAACATAATATAGAAATCTTTGCAAAAAAATTAAAAACTGAAGAATATATTTCTAGTTCATCTATTTTAAATAAAATTTTATTTGAAATAAAGGTATTAAATCCTATTTTTAATAAAAACTCTAATATAAAAATTATTTCAACTTTTGAAATAAAAAAAAAAATAAATAAAAAATATTGGCGTAAATTTTATCTAGGGTCTGAGTGAATACTTTTTGACAAATTACTATTTTTAGTAAACGCGAATCACCTGTTCACTTTTTACGAGTTCAGACGATTCTAGTCGCATTTTTCGCTGCATTTTATTCGGTATTTTTTAGTTTTTTAGCTTATTATTATTACTTGTGCGCTTTTGTTTTGGATTTTTCTTTTAAATAAAAATGACTGAGCTTAAAGGTTAGTACATATTTGTCTTGTGTTTTGCGTTTTAATATGTTTATTATGTATTATTGATTATTAAAAATTTTAAGTTTTTGATAATATACAACAATTAATTAAATTATTCCAAAGTAACTAAATTTCAGTTAATTCTTTTTTTTAATTTAGATGACTGAGTTTTTAATCCAATAAAATTGTCATTTGAAAAAAAAATACAGGCAAGCTGATTTTTTCTGAGTTTGTCAGCGACTGTCTTCTGAGTGTAAAATAAACAAAATCGAAAATTTTCCCCTTGCGTTTTTTGAGCAATAGGGTTTGTTTTACAGCAAATTGACCCGTATTAAAGTTGTTCATAATAAATGGCCAAGCAACTTTTCCTCATTTTTTTTTAGCTTCATTATTTTTGGAGATAGCGTCCAGTTCATGAACTAATTGTGGTAGTATTATCATAATTTTTGTTTAGTTCTACAAATTTACCAACTTAATGGTGTTCATATTAAAATTACATACAAACTTCCCTATGATATGTATTTATTTCCCCAATAGCACTTGTGAATTTCCTGAAAAAAAGAACATTGAAAACTACCTTAATTTGTTCATGAACTGGACGCTATCTCCAAAAATAATCGAGCTACAAAAAAAATTAATGAGGAAAAGTTGCTTGTCCATTTATTATGAACAACTTTCATACAGGTCAATTTGCTGCAAAACAAATTTTTTGAAAACCACCCCAAAGGGCTCATGAAACGGCCGCTATGTTCGGAAATAATAAACTTATAAAAAAATTAAGTTATTGCTCAAAAACCGCAAGGGGAAAATTTCCGATTTTGTTAATTAAACACTCAGAAGACAGTCGCTGACAAACTCAGCTTACCCGTAATTTTTTTTCACTTTCTATACGGCGATACAATTTTACTGGATTAATTACAGTTATTATATTATACGGTGTGTAAATCAATTATTTGAATTGTTTCTTTTAAATTATTATATTGTTGTCAATGATATATTTTTTAAGTTACAATAGCACTAAAAACAATTCAAAAACCACAAAAAACATGATATTGAAATCTTTACAAAAAAATAAAAAAAGAATATAATAATTTTATTTAAAAAAAACAGATTTTAGACGATTTTGATCAATTTTCAGCTGCAGTCGGTGAATTTTTAGTTTTTTTCGATTATTATTATTATTTTTATAAAACAACATCATTTTATTGCATTTATTTTTATTTAGTATTACCATTTGGAAGGCATTCACGATTTGTTTAAGAATCAATTAGAATTAATGTCTAATGTAACACGATTTGGAAAAATTTATAGTAGCTGATCGAAAAAAAATTGTGATGGAATTCCCAGTGTTAAAGGTTTTATAATAGCATTATAAACATAGAATTATAAAACTTGAATAATGTTTGATGAAATTGATAATTATTTAATCAAAGTATTATGTTATACAGAAAATTATTTTTTTGATTAATTAAAAAATTATTTAAATATTATGTAATTCAATTGGATTTTTTTTTTCATTTTAAATATTTCTTTTAAAGCAAAATTTTTTGTGAAAAATTAATTTTTCTCGAAATGTCAATAATAAAAAAGTTTTTTCTCTTGTAAGAGCATCCGGGGACATACTGTATAAAAGTATAAATATATTTTTTATATTTTAACTGTTACCCTTTGTTACTATATGTCAATTGAGAACTAGGACCCGACAATGAGTTCCAAAATTATTGGACGTTTTTATGTAAAAGACTTGAAAAACGTATAACCAGAAATATTGTTGCTTATATTTAGGTAATTTAAATTTTTTTTGTACACTGAAGGATTTTTAAGGTTTTCTTTGAAAATTATTTAATAGCGAAAAAAGTGTACCTAAATAATTTTAAATTAATTCTTGAAGCCAAATACACGAAGAAGCCCATTAATTTATTCATTAATGTATTACACGTGTCCAAATAATCTAACTTCATATTTGTTTATAAATATCCAAATTAGCGACTGTCAAATTACCATAAAAATTATAAAGCTCCACAGCAATTTGGTTAATTTAATTACCTGAAAATCGGCTTTATAAAAAATATGATTAATTTAGAATTACTTTAATATAAAAGAATGACGAACTAACTCTACTGTTTTAAAATTATTATGTAATAGGTAAACAAAAACGTACGTACATATATACAGTGTGTATCAAAACGTTCGAAACAAATTAGAAAACTTTGTCATTGATTAATTGAAAAAAAAATCAGATTCGATTAAATATAAACCTTGTTTATATATTCTTCATATACAAGAGTATAATAAGCCTAGTAGGTATCCAAAAAAATGAAAAATAAAAAATGTGTCAAAATAATCAATGTTCAAAAAAAGTGAAGTATTTTAAGTTAAATGTCTCCTTTTAGCTGCTAAGACTAGTCTGGATGGGACCTACTTTGTTTACGCGGAATCCGAACCGCGACTCTCGGCCATACCACTGTCAATAGCCTACCGACATGGTTAGTGTCTAAATACACTCTTACTTATGAGATATCCTATCCCATCCGGCCCCAAACCGGCGTAAATAAGCAGTATGGTAATAAATTTCACATGTAAAGATGTAAAGAACAACAAGGTTAAGAACAACAGAGTTTCGAGACAGTCACCCGTCTATTCTCTCG